ATTTTTTTTTTTTTTACTTTTTTGTATTTTAAATTTTTTTTATTGTTTTGTATTTTTATTTATGTATTAAATTTTGAGTTTAATTTAAATTTTGTAGACATATATATTTTTATTTAATTTCGAGTTTAATTGATTGGATTAAATTTATTAAATTATATTTTATAAAATTAAAATATATTTTATTTCGTTATTTAAATTTATTTTTATTTAAAATTAAAATTATAAAGTTGAAATTAGTAATTATAGAAAAGTGAATAAAATAACATATGATGTGTAGGAGTGTGAAGCAGTATGATTCACAACAAAGGGAGAAAACGGGAGAAAGATTATAGAGAAAAGAAGAGAAGAGAATTCTATGATGATGTAGAAGAGTTGAACCCACAAAATAAAGAGATAAGGAGAGTATCATTGTGGATGTACTTATTGTTTTGTTCTAGAAGGCCACATTGAATCTTATCCAATTATGAAATTTGTGATACTGTGCTAACTGCTTATCTGGAAAAAGATAAATGAAATATAAGTACAAGTCTAGGTGGGAATCACTTATCAAACCCCAAACTGCCCAAAGATAAAGGATTACAGATTGTGGCAGCAAAAAAAAACAAAAAAAAAAACAAAAACAAAAATAAAAACAAAAACAAAACAAACAAACAAACAAATAAACAAACAAACAAAAACAAATGTTTCTTTAGCTCTTAATTTTAGTTTTTATGTATTTAGATGGTTTAAACAATCTTTTGAACACTTTTACAAGCACTTTCGTAAATAGTTTAAATGAAATAACTATGGAAACCTTATGTTTTATTACTAAATTTTAAAATTTTTTAATTTTAAATTTTATTTTTAATTAAAAAATAAAAATAAAATTAAAAAAAATTAAAAAAAAAAAACAATAAAATCGACGCCTAAACTCCCTAGGCGCTAGGCGCCCCTCTTGCCGCCTAGGGGGGCGCCTAACGTTTTTTGCAACATATATATATATATATATATATATATATATATATATATATATATATATATATATATGAAAAAGTTCAAATGCGCCGATGTCCTTAGGTGCGGCGAAATTTCAGAATACACCACAGTTTTAATAACATGCACCAACGATAGTGTAAGGGAAACACACCATAATGAAATGCAAAAAAAAAAAAAAAAACAAACAAAAAACAAAAAACAAAAAACAAAAAATACACAACAGACCCAAAAAAAATACACAATATTCCAATGGTGTATTTCCGAACACTGTAGGGTGTTTTTACTCATACCTAATGGTGTTGATAGTGTTAATTCCGACGTAAGCGATAAATAAAATAACACAAGACCAATTAAAGCAAGTAAAACTCTTTTATTGATCAAGGTGAAGGTCCTAAGTACAATCTACAATGGTTATTTCGAGGGCCGACTGACTGCGGTCGGGATGCTCTGAGAATAGCATATCGATCGTCCAAAAGTCCCCCACACTGTTGCAACCGCGGGTATTTATAGCCGCTCGGCCAGAGACACAAGTCCGGCCGTTCGGCATGTCCCCCACGTAGCAACCACGTGTCCTCTTCCCGGGAGCCCTGCCTATCAATGCGTAATGCTGCCACGTGTCTCTCCGCGGCTTTCTCGCCTAAGGGCTATCGCTCGGGTGATTCCCGGTCGACAACCGACCGAGATCTTCTAAGGAAGTCAGACCTGCAACCTGCATAAACAAGAGTAAAAAGGACGAAGGCATGTTGGTCGGGGTATTCCCTACCAAGTGTTTTTTTGGTGATGCGTACCTAATTTGTGTGTGTTTTTGTAGTGCATTTTCCTAACGTTGATGGTGTATATTTGTTGAACTATTGATGATGCCGCACCTAAAGACATCACCGCACTTGAACATTTCTCTCTCTCTCTCTCTCTCTCTCTCTCTCTCTCTCTCTATATATATATATATATATATATATATATATATATATATATATATATATATATTGTCAGTCAAACATGAAATATAAGAAAAATCGCAATTGTTATTTACAGTTTCGTGAGTGATGAAAGTTACCATTTTTATTCACAATTCTGAATTATTTAACCCAATAATAATATGAATAAATAAATGAATAATAAAATAGAAAAGACAACGAATATGTGTTGCGGGGACAATATTTGTATAAATAATAACTTTGTAAGATGATTACAAGTGAATGTATTGATCAAATGATGCCCCAATCAAGCCAATAATGAAGTAATTTATACTAAGGTTTCCTCCTAACCGTCCCCATGATAAGAATAGGGCGGGCGGTTGGATCCTCCTTGACCGCGTCCGCGCGTGTAGCACACAAAGCCGAGACCGCCCGGGCTGAGGCTGCCTTATGCCGCAGGCCCCAGGTCGAGGCCACCTTGGACTAAAGCTGCCCCAAGTCGAGGCCACCCCGGACTGAAGCTGCTCCAAGCCGAGGCCGCCACAACCCTGGGTCGTTTTTTTTGTCGTTCTCACTTCTCCTCGGGTCGATTTGGTCTCGATCGTCTCTAATATATCCCTCACATGGCATATATTTACTAGCTTTTTCAAAATAAGTATTAAAAAATAAATTGAATAGGAAAATTTTGCATCATTCATTTTTCCTTGTACTACCGAAATCTTTTGTCGTAGAGGAAGAAGATATTCCGTAGTAATTTATGCAAAGTGGGTCTCTCTTTTCGATATTCTTTTGCTTCATCTTGGAAGTTAGAAGAAAGAAATTAAAGAAAAGGACAGGATTGGAGCAGAGAAGCAAATTTTAATGTGCCTATTTAATTCATTAATATATATCTTTATTTCCCTTTCTATAATCAAAAGTATAGATATGCTTTACTCATCTTTTATTTTTTATTGCTAATACAAACTATAGGATGAATAATTTATGCAAAAGTGAAATCCAGAACTAAAATAAGGGGAAAATATAATGTTTTTTTTTTTTGTCTTACTATATTATTTGTTATATATAAATGTAAGGTTTATTTTTTAATTGGAAAAATAGCACTTTTTACCCCTGAGTTATATACTTATAGCACTTTTTCCCCCTCAATTATTTAGGTAAGCACATTAGCCCCCTCAATTATTCTAAAAGTGGTATTTTTTTCCCCCTGATATATTAAATTGACATTTATACCCTTAAAGTAAACATTTTATTTATTTTACTACTCCAACAAATTATTGCGTATACGTAGGGATGACCACGGTTCGATTTGAATTGAATCGGATACTAAAGCAATCGAATTAATAGTTTACGGTTATAATTCAGATCTAGAACCCAATATTTAAATGTCAATTTATTAAAATTATGTATCAAAAAAATTGAATCTTGAACCGTGAACCTGCGATTCCGGATCTGATTCGCGGTTTTGAACCGTCTTTATTTTAAAATTTTATTTTTTATTTTAAAATAGTCTAAATTCAACAATAAATGTATTTTATTTTTTCAGTTCGGAACATGAACCGTCCGTTCCGGTTCACGATTTTAATAAACTCTAAATATCGAATTTCGATTCTAAATTGTAATTGGAATATTTCGGTTTGGTTGCTATAGTGTTTGTTTAGTTTGAACCAAATTATGGTCATAATTTGTTGGAGAAAAAAATAAATTAAATATTTAATTTAAGGGTAAATATGTCCATTTAACATTTCAGGGGGAAAAACAACCACTTCAATAATTTAAGGGGAAAAAATGCTATAGGTATATAACTCAGGGGGAAAAAGTGCCATTTTCCCTTTTTAATTTGTTCAAATGTTGTCTCTTAGTTTTCAGGCAAGTTGTCAATTTGATTTCTCGTATGACATAAATTAATAATGTTATTTTTTAAATAAAAAATAATGTTATTTTCAATTACGATTTTATTAGGGCGAGCTTTATTGTAATTTGACTAATTTCATTTTACTCACTTTATTCTCTTCTCGTCTTTGTTGATAAATTGGTGAAGAGTGTTGGTAGCATTGTTGTCAATGACAAAGGTGTAGAATTTTAAGAAAATCTTATTTTTCTTGAAAATAAATAGTGGTAGTGTATTAGGACCTTGTGAACATATGAAAGAAATGTAAAATTACAAGAAAATTGTCATAAAATCCTAATTTGAGAATAATATTAAAATGTCCTATATTTCAATATGAATAGTTAAGAGATCAAAAGTACACTAATTAACTATTTATTAAAATTGATCTAAATAATGTGTATACATTACGCTCATCACAAAGTAAAGACATGAAAGCTTATGCAATATAATGTTGAAAAAGAAGCCATAATCTGATTCTAAGGTAAAGTTGATTTATTCCGTAGTCCCTACATTAAAGTTGTTGGGCCGATCCCAGGGGTTATAAGTTCTTGGTCATCCTTTCTGATCTGCTTTATATCTTGATTCAATTGGCCTAGACAGCCATTTAGGCGCTAGATATCCTTAGGCCATTACATATTCTGATGTAAGTGCTCACTTAGGTAACCGCCTGACTAGTCAATTGAGTTGATCAATTAGTCAAAAAAATCAACCAACTAGTCAAACAAGTCGTCCATTTGTCCTCTGTGATCTCCGCTATCTTCGTTGGACTTTGCACCCTCACAATCGTCCATCGCTCGGTTGCCTTTTATAGGTGTCAAAGCCCATCGTCGCAACTTTGGAAAGTTTGAATTTGGACTAAACTTTTAAGCTTTGGATTAAAGTTAGGCTTTAATGCTTTTATTAAGGAACTTATGTGTTACCGAGGCAGCAACTAGGTGCCTATCCACCGCCCAACCGATAAGCGTCTAACGCCTTTTACAACCCTGTGATTCAGTAGTCATGTGGGGGTGTGGGCTATATATATATATATATATATATATATATATATATATATATATATATATATATATCCATATATATATATATATATCCATAAAATCAAAACTCAGATTACAGACAATTCTCAGTTGCAGCATCATATATACATTTTTGAATATGAAGCAAAGCCCCATTTTCCTGCACTCAAACTTGCGATAAAAGGCTAGATTCCAATTTCTCTCACATGAAGATAAATAGATTCCAAATTCATATCAAGTTATAGAGCAGTTCTGTACTTCCGCAAGAAGTATCACAAAGGGACAGCTACACACAAGATTGCAAAAGAAATCATAATTGTATTCGCAATTTAAACATACATATACACAACATTAGACAATTGTGCTCAAAAAACTATAATGTGTCCAAGTTTATCATCTTCCAAACGCAGTTACACGTTTCAAACTCGGACATATCTTTTGGACCAAAGTCAAAATCTTCAACCACATTTTTATCTCTCTGAACGATATCTGTGTTGAGTGAAGGACTATCCAGTTGCAGCAGATGGTGAATGAGTACATCCACATGGCAAGAGAGAAAGGAAAAATAAATAAACATTAATTTTTCAATAAGGATACAGCCAGATATCTTTGATTGATCATCCAAGCTTGGTATAATATTTGTAGCCGAAGCAAACAATGATAACATCCTCCTGCAAAATCAAAACAAAGGGGTTACTATTACTTACAGTTACAGGAGAGGGAGGGTTCTGCGGTAAAAGGTGTTTGGTAAATAGCTGTTAGCTGATTGGATTAGTGGGTCTGACTAATTGATATCATTAGCTGATTGTAGAAAAGTGTTTGGTAAATTAATTGTTAGTTGATAGCTGATTACATGCAAAATGATTTTCTCAGAAAGCTTATCGAAAAAGCTACTTTGAGCAGTTTTTTTTTTTTTTTAATTTTAGCATTTTGGAACAATAAGTTGTTACAAAAAGCTAATTAATCAAACACTCATATTGATTGTTTAACCAAGTCAAACAGTTAATAGTGATCAAATAAGCCAAAATTGCCTAATAAGCTAACTATGTTACCAAACAGGGCCAAAATGACATCTCACATCAAAAGCATTATTTCTGATTCTAAATTTCAATTTTGGCATAATATACAAATCTAAAGAACTGCATGTGATAGCAGCAGTGCACTTGGATTGCATCATAAAGCATTGCATCCATAGTAACCCATTATTCATATAATTTCCAATTTTAAGCTTGACATCACAATTATGCAAGTTTTAAAGTAGGCATAAACCAACATGGCTGATATATTGATAGCTGTTATATATCAAGATGAGCTTACTCTGCTCTTGAGTCATCTCGCTCAAGTTGCTTAAGGGATTTCCTTTGTTCTCCAATGGAGAATCTTTGACGCTCTAAATCATTCATTTCTTCTGAAATAACCGTGATGACATTACAAATAAACAAACAAACCACTGATCAATAACACAGGCAAAAGTTTCTAAGATATCAAAAGCCAGGGCTGTCAAAATACTCATCTTAGCTCTTCTCTTAACAGGCTTTCTCTTTGAAACTCCTCTTCAAGATCTTTCTGTAGTGATTCTATTTCAGCATCAGTTGAAGAAGCTTCAGATTTTGCTTCCAGGGTTTTACGTTTGCACATATCTACCTTCTTTTCATAATCTAAAGCACATTATGCACAAAAATAAACACATCACTTTTTTAACACCAGAGCAAATTGGCAAGCTGAAATCCTCAAAATCAAATGAATTTACCTATGAAACTCACTACACAGCCAAACCAGCAGTGTTGTAAAAATCGGCCTAGGCGGCCGCCTAAGCGCCGCTAGGCCGAGGTGATTTCAGCTCTAGGCGGTTTTAAGTCGGTTGACCGACTTACCGACCGATTAGGCACCCTAGGTGCCAACTCGAGCGAGTTGAGCGCCTAACTCGGCCTAGTCGGGTTGCCTAACTCGACCGAGTCGGTCCCTAACTCGGCCGGGTTGGCGCTCAACTCAGGCGAGTGATTTTTTTTGTCTACTCGGCTACTCCTCTGCTATATCTCTCCAGCCATGTACTCAACTAACCATCTAACATATGCAGTTGACTAGTACGGGAGATTATAACAGTCTAACAACTCCTATCCCTAAGTGGAAAGTGGAGACGATATACTCGGATTACTAGGCCGCCAGTGCCTAGGCGCTCTAGGCGAGTAGGTGCCCCCGGGGGCCGACTAGCGCCTAGCGCCTTCTACAACATTGCAAACCAGTAAATTATACAGTCTTCAAATTAAGCAAGATATTTTTTTACGAAATCCATGAGCACTAAGAGAAAGTAGAAAATTTCTACATTCTGATAAGCATCACCCAAATAGCGGCTTCAACAAATTAGCTCCATTAACCCTTCTTCCCTCCAAAGTTTCAATTACTTGCCCCTTCCCAATGGGAAGTGAGAAATTGAATTATTAACCAGAGTAACTGCGCATCTAATTTCATCCGACATTTCATACAGATTACTTGTTATCTCAAGTAACAATTGGAATTTAACAATACTGAACCACAGAAAAACGGTTTCTTTATACAAGTAAAGCCAAAAAGAGAGAAGACTTACTAACTACCTTCAATGGACCTCTGGGTGTCGTTAAAATCAGTATTGCACTGAGATTGAAGGGAGTTAGATTGCTCCAATAGCTGCTTCAAAGAATTGACATCTTCGCCATCCTTCAAGACCTCAACGAGGTCGTTGCTCCACAACATGAGCTTCTCTACGTCAAAATTCTTCAACCCATCTCCCATCCTGTAGACTTAAATTGAAGAACCCTAGGGTTTCGGCTTTTCCTCGTACAGCTGCAGGAATAGCGGAGGTTTCTTGAACAAAACTGCCACCAGAATTGCCAAGATTTATCTGAATGAATTTGAGATCTGATATGTATTTGTATAAATGCAAGTGTTGGTTTGAGGATTTGAGCGAATTAAGGAATGTGGGGAAGCAGGAAAGGGAATCAATTTGAAGTGGATGGAAATTCATAAGAGAGATTCAATTATTGTATCTAGGGCTGCAAACGAGCCGAGCATAGCTCGAATTTGGGTTCGCTCAAGCTCAAGTTCAATAAATATATAGTGGCTCAAACTCGAGTTCAATCAAATTTTAAAATTGTAACTTGAGGTTGGCTCACTAATTTTCATATTGCTCGAACTCAGTTCGATTGGCTCGATTTGAGCTTGCGTTTTCGAGCCATAGCTTGAGCTTTTAAGTTCGAGTATTTGAACAATCTAACAAAGAAGTCTACCAACGCAAAGATGATACAGTTAGACAGTTATGCCTTAACTGATACCACAGTTAAATGCACAGAAATCTCATATCACAATTAGACTAAATTCCAGCATATTCCAGCTGATTATGAGCTTAAAAATAGATCACCATCAATTCTAAAACATATAATCAATTCAATATAACTGTTCTCCAAGGAATAAACAACGAGGTTGCATTCTATAAAACAACTTAACTAATAGATAAAGTCAATCTCATAGAAACTTTTATAGTTTTATAACGTGTATTAAAAAAAATAAATAAATAAATTTTACAAATTCAAATAATGTACATCATCAAAAGTTTTGTGAAATTCTGATGTAAATGCAATTACTAATTTGAATGTCTTAGAGTTATGCGAATCCTAGTAAATGATACCAAGAACGTCCATGATATGGAGTAAATGTATGCAAAAAAAAATAATTACTTTTGCATTTGATTTTTTTTAATTGTATGTTGTGGTTTGATTCAAATTTCCTAATTTTGGATTGTTAGACAAATAATTACTATGAAGCATTTAGGTGCATTGATATAGATGTTTTCAAGCACGTTATGTAAGGTCGTCAAAGGACTACATTGTGTAAGGTCGTCAAAGGACTACTAAAGCATCTTGACAAAAATGACAACGAATTGAGATGTTAAAACTTGAAGTTGAAAAACAAAAATAAATAAATTACAAAGCAACAAAAAAAAAAAAAAAAAAAAAAAAAAAAACAATCTTGAATTGATGAAGCTAAAGCGTTGGGATAATAATGAAAGTCATAGGAAGTTGCATTTCTATTATGGCTTGGATGTGGCATTGATTATCTCACATGTTTTTTTTAATACTATTGACTCTATTACATGTAGGAAGTGATAGTAACTTCCTATGGTGGATTATTGTAGTTGAATTGAATGGTTATTAGTACGAGAGTAATTACCATTTTCTTCCCCACGGTAACTCAATGGCTCAGTCGGGATCTGCCCACTTTGGACATAATCCCAACACTAATATTGCCGAGTTTTGAACCTTGGTCTCTTCCTACTGAACCAGTGAGCTAAGCATGTGGTAGCTAGTATTTAGTAGCAAATGCATTATCATGTAATAGTTTATTGGAGCTTGAACTGAGTACTTGTAATATGAACTTCTAATGTAAGCTTAAAATAATTGTACTATTGCAGTACTTATTACTTAACTTGGTGCAAAATGCATAATAAAACCTGAAAAGTCTAAGATTAAGCTGAATAAACACAAGTATTTTTAACACACAAGTTATAAGATGAAATTAATTTTCTGATTGCCATAATGAAAGCAAAACCTAGTACAAAGGCGTTGCTTACCCCTTGGTTAAAAATTAAACACTTACCTTGAGGAGTATCTGTTGACGATTTTGCTGGGGCGGAGTTCACGATTTTGTTGTTGGCTTCGATTGTGCGACGCCTCACTGTGAGAGCCGAGGAGTTACAGTGAGGCAGAGGAGTGAGGTCCGCTGAGTCGCTGACTGCTCGCCGTCCGATCTAGAGTCGAGGAGTTACGGTCGCTGGCGTCGTGCTGAGGGCTGAGGTAGTGGGTACAGGGTACTGGACTGTCGATATCAGGAGCGGGGGCACTGCAGAGGGCCTGAGCCGTAAGGGAGTGCCGCAGGGGAGAAACCTAGAAGGTAGTTAAGGTTCAATCCTATAGATTATAATTTAAAAATTATGAGTTTGCAGTTAAAAATTACGGAGTATACATTTTGTAAATAAATTGAAGACATATATAATTTATTAACTACAAATACATTGTATGGTAATTATATTATATGTTTATAATGTATATAGTTAACATGTTATGTGATATCAATTTATTCACATGTACATAATCTATTAACTAAAGACATGTAATATGTTAAGTGCAGACATATTATTTGAATGTTATTTTAGACAATAATTTACAATGCAAGGTGAACATTAGCCCATGGTATAATTTACCGTCAAGGTCAAGGCAAGCAATCCTTATATCATGGATCAGGGATCACGCTGCATTGTGGACTATGGTTCATATGTATGTGACTATGTGTTTTGTGTTGGAATTTTTTGTGTCTTGCGTTATAAAATTTGATACCTTAAGAGTATGAATTATGTACCTAGAACAAATTAGTAAGTGTGTTTTATGTTATGAATTTTTGTATCTTGTGTTATGAAATTTTGTGCCTATGAACACAAATTTTGTAACTAAATCAGATTTGAAAAATAAGTAAATATATAACACGTGTATGTGAATTGTACTATGATTTTTATGCCTTGTGTGAAGTTTTATACCTTACGAGTATAAATTATGTACTTCGTTTCAATTCATGATCCATAATGTTGTGTCTTATATTATGATTTTTTGTGTTTATGAGATTTTGTACTTTATTAGTATAAACTAGTATTTGTCCCGTGCATCGCACCGAAAATATGTTATAAAAATATACCTTATATGAGGTTTATTCATATATAATATCAATTTTATTATTTAATAATTATGTGTGAATTGCTATGATAAAATTATGAACATATATAAATATATATACAATTACAATAAGAATTGATATTTAAGGTGGATGATTACTACAAATCTTAAACTATACTAAAAATTTAGTACATAGTATTTAATATTACAAATTTTTAAGGACTTAGTAAACTACAATAGTACTCTAGAAATCTCAAAGGTCTAAAAATTTTGAACCGCGATGACTTTGAAAATTATAATTCAATTACTATTGTAGTTTACTGAGTTCTTAAAATTTTGTAATATTAAATACTATGTACTAAATTTATAAGATTGACCTCATTAGAATAACCTCACCTGAAGTTTATTTGTGAGTTTTTGGATGGATTGGATGAGGCAAGAAAGATGAAAATGAATTAAGGTTAATTTGAATTTTATGCACCATGTAATAAGTAAATAAATAAATCTTAACTATTATATAACCATATGGTTTCTTAACTATAATATAACCATATGGTTTGGTGAGTAATTATTCTTCCAATAATTGCTCACCAAACCATATAGCTATATTATAATTAAGATTTTATATGTAATATTGCAATTTATGGTTTATAATACTATGTAAACTCTAGTTCATGATATAAATTGCCCAAGGTCAATCGTTATACCCTACACCACGGCGCGCGTAGCACTGTACGTCGCGCGCCTCCCAAAACGACGTCGTTTTGGGAGGCGCGGTAGGAAGTTGCTGTGATTATGTATATTTGTTCATACAATTATGTATGTTTGTTCATACAATTATGTACATTCTTTTTATACAATTATGTACATCCGAATCAGGAAATTTTTGTGTATTATGTTAAGAGTTGATGTGTATTATGTTAAAAGTTTATGTTTATTATGTATTATGTTAGATTATGTGTATTATCTTTTAAAAAACAATATGTATATTTTGTTATACAATTATGTACATTCATGTATACAATTATGTACATTCATGTATAACATTATGTATATTTTTGAACATGGGTTTTTTTAAAAGAAAAATTAACTGGCAAACACTGGGGCGGAAAATTTCAACAAAAAAAATAAAAATAAAAATAAAAATTGAAACGACGTCGTTTTGCATCTGAACGTACAATGCAATGCGCGCCGTGGTGTAGTATATAAATTGCCGTTATTCAAAGTCTTAACGGAGTCGTGTCAAACCCCATTGACTAAATGAAAATGATGTAATGCAACTAGGTCTAGGCGTTATTTGAAATCAACATTTAATTCCAATCCACATGACTAAATCAACACTGTATGGCCAATAGAATATGAATAATGTAACACAAAAGAACAAAGAAAATATTGGATTTTTTGCTAGCCCAAATATTACAATGAGCAAATGTTTGTTATAGAAAATGTGTCCTATGCTAGACAAAGCAAAAATTTGGTAAGTATATATACAACAACCTCCTAATGATCTCCTGATCATTTTCAGAGTGATATGAACGTTCTCTAAGAAGATTGGACACATCAGTCAAGTTTGTGTCGACTCCAGTTAAACCGACCTCAACCAGGCAGACCCCAAGGTTGGATCCTAGAACACCCGTCCTGAACTTGTCATCTTGGATAGCTCTTCTCCTTGAGCTTATCTTTTTGGGTCAAGCCTCATTTATATCTCCGTAATATACCCAAGTATATTACAAAAATACTTTGATAAATTTTCGTAGATAGAGCCATAGAGGCATTGTCCTCTTTATTTTATTTTTCAAATGTATGAGACAATTAATAATTCTCCTATATATAGACATGTATTGACATCATCTTGTCTTTCATTTTGCAAAGATATCAATTAAATATGATTCTCAAATAAGATATCTCTTTGTCACTTTTTATGAGTTTATAACTTTAGCAGTGAAATTGACATTTAATGTGTTACTTATTGATGTTATATAGCTGTTTAATTTAAATTTATGTAATTGGTTTATAATTTATTTTCTGTTAAAAAGATCAAATAGACCACTAAATTACACACAAAAATTATATTAATTAGGTCATTCAACTTTAAAAATAAAAGTGTAATTAAATTTTTGAATAAGCCAAATTGTGTCATCAAACCAAGATCAGATAACTAGTACTCCAGGTAAAAATTATGATATGGTGTTAGTTTATAATTTAAAATTTTACTTTTTCATTTTTATTTGTGCTTACATGGACCACCTTTAATAAAAATAAAGAAATAAAATTTTAATACAGCCAACATGGCTACCTTCACCATCTATCCCTCCTTCGGTCCTAGAAGAGATGAAGAGGTGTTCTTCATCTATGACCATGAATAAAGAAAAAATTTCGTCTTTAACTTAGAGACAAAGAACTTAATTACTCTTTCGTCACCCGGACGAAGAAACAAGTATACGCCTCTTTTTGTCTCCACTTGTGTTGAAAGAGGGCGGTGAAGACAACACAAATAAAAATATTTAAGATTTTCCATGTCATTACAAAACAAAAATTAAAATTTTAAATTTTCAGTAGTTTAACTAAAGTATCGATCATTTCGCTTTGATTGCACAAATTTAACTTATTTAAAGATTTAATTACACTTGTTTAAGTTGGATGAGCAAATTGTATTTTTCGTGTATAATTTCATAGCCTATTATTTTCTTTTGCTTGTAATATAAAATAACTGATGCAAAGTTAACTATACGTACTAGGGATGGCAATGGGACGGG